CTCTCTCTCTCTCTCTCTCTCTCTCTCTCTCTCCCTCCTCTCTCTCTCATCTCTCTCTCCTCTCTCTCTCTCTTTCTCTCTCTGCCAGACCAAATTGCTTAATATGGGATATAAGAATTCCTTTGTACCAAGCAACACACACGCGTACTATAATTGCAAAAGGACTTACTTTATTATTGTATTAATTGTTAAGTGAAAAATAATTTAATTCTTATTTTGATTCAAGTTATATGGATATTTTTGAAATAAAATGTTAGGTATAACCTTACAGTTGAAGAATTTGCCAGATGTGATGAGGAACTGGCTCCCCCTTGTGGCATGTTCCTTTTGGTAAGGATAATGATCAGCAGGCTTCATGTTTTAAAATGAAGAGTGACTACTCTTCCCTCCGTCCCTGCTTCCTGCCCCCTGTGGCAAACAACTCATGAAAATGAGCCAACAGCTGATTATTCTCTTTTCTTATACATTGATGCTGTTATAAGCTAAAGTTCATATATCATATATTTATGATGGATCATTATTCTGAGTGTCTAGGTATGTTCATAGGTACAATAAAATAGCTACAAAATAAGCAGGGTTTAAAGACCAAATAGATTGTATAGTATTAGACAAAATAAGTTAGGTTTACTTGCTGTGAGATTTATGAGAAATTTAAAGGGTCAACATGTGATGAACCTTTTAGGCAAAAGGATTTTCTAAACTTATTGGAGTTACATAATTCTATTTTGAGGATCATTCACATGAGTCATTCTTTATTTAAAAAACCTTAACACTACTGTATTTGCTTCATCCATGTAACAATCTTTGTAAGTAAAATAAAACAGTATTATCCTGGGATTCAGTAGTTCATGCCTATAATCCTAGCTACTCAGAAGGCTCAGGCTTGGAGGATGACAGTTTAAAGCCAGTCTAGACAGAGGAGTTTATGAGATTCCATCTCCAGTTAACCAGCAAAAAGCCAGACTAAAGAGGTGTGGTTCAAGTGGTAGAGTCCTAGTTGAGAAAATGTTGAGTGAACCTGAACAAGGTTGAGATCTCTCTGTTCAGGGTCCTGGTACTGGCAAAATAAAAACAGAAACCCAACAGTATGTCTTAAATGCTTATTTTTGGTGATAAATTTACTGTTAGGATAAATTTTTTCATTTTGTAGCAAGCAGATGTCAGAATGATAAGAGCTCCAGCTTGTTCTATTTATTTTTCATTTAGATAATCTTATGTATTTAATAATTGTGACAATTTAATCTGATAATATTAACTAATACTGATTATGTGAAAGAATTAATTTTAATGTAAGTATAATTTAATTATTTTTGTTAATCAAAATTTCTGAGATTTTTTTCTGAGATTTTTTTTAAAAAACATAATTGATGTTATGTTCTGATGTATTTGCTAGAGTTTCGATTGATGCTTTTAGCATTGTTAAACTATACTAATGAAATGAATGCTGATGACCGATTTGTTTTTTTCTTATTGTGGTGCTACTGTTCTCTTTTAGCTCTATAAGGATAGGATATGGCAGAACCTTTAAGGAGACAGAAAAAGATAAAACTGAGTATAAGATGGTGATACAAACCTGTTACGTAATTTGGGATCTGGAGGAATAGGATTTGGTTCTGTTTATGAATTTGTAATGGTTAATGGTAGTTAATTTGGGACTTCTGTTAACAAAAACTTATTAAAATAAGAACAATTTTTTTTGGGGGGGGGTCAGTCATGGGGCTTGAACTATGGGCCTAGGTGCTGTCCCTGAGCTCTTCATCTCAAGGCTAGCACCCTACCACTTGAGCCATAGCACCATAGCCACCACTTCCACTTTCTGGTGGTTAATTGGAGATGAGAGTCTCATGGACTTTCCTGCCCAGGCTGGCTTTGAACTGAGATCTTCAGATAAATTTATGTAATTATGTTTTCTTTAGTGAATGGAGGGAAAGCATTCCAGTTAAGGAAAACAGAGCTCACAGAACTTCAGCTATTTCTGAAAGTCACATAGCTGGAAGATAGGAAAGGTAAATTTGGGACCTAGGATTCCTCATTTTAGTTTCTAGCTGGTTTTAATCACAGTTTGCCAACCAGCTTCCAATTAATACCTTGAAATTTAGAAAGATATTTCTAGTGACCCTTTGGACATACAAACCACTGATACTGTTTTCTGTAGTATTTTTGAAAATTATAATAAAACTATGAAATAGTACTTCAGAAAAGTGTAGATGTATGTACTTGTAAATATAATTTCAGTTGACATTATAGATCTAATAATGAAGTCTAGGATTATAAGAACATAGTTGTTTAGAATTGTTTATTTGAATGTAGGAATACTTAGAAGTAAAGTAAAATAGCTTCATTATGTGCATTTTCAATGCCTTGTTAATAAAGGCTTTTTGGGCTTGATATATATTCCAATGTTTTGAGCCAATGTGTCATATTGTTATACAATGAAGGAAGCATTATATTATGTGTAACATAATTAAATTTGTATTCTTTAGGTAAAAAGAACGTATTCTCATGGTACTTACAGAGCTGGCCCAATGCGACAAATAAGTTTGGTGGGAGCAGTTGATGAAGAAGTAGGAGATTACTTCCCTGAGTTCCTTGACATGTTGGAAGATTCGCCATTTTTAAAAGTAAGAAAACAATCTCAACAATGTAAATTTGGATGCTACTTTCAGGCTACAGGTGATAATAAAAATGAAAGGTTATTTCAGAATTTTTAAAAATTGAAATTTATTTAAATTGGAAAGAAGAAAATGAAGAGATGGGGAACAGTAATCTGTGTAGTGTGTACTTGAGACTTCTCAAGTCTTAATTATAATGGTATCTCTAAGTGGTAAGTCAGAAAAATAACATTTACCTACTGCTACTACTTGAGAAAATAAAATTCTGTTTTATCAGGTCTTTATAGACAAAGTACCAAAGGATTTTAGAATTATAGGAAGGATGCCTACTAAATTAAGATGTTTATGACAAAGGAATAGTAGCTTGGCGTTATGAAAAATTGGCCTGAGGAATTAAAATTTGTATTTTTGCTTTGGATATGCAAGTGATTTCTGTCCAGATTCTCTCTTAAAAAATAGCCTCTTCAGCCAGGTGCTGGAGGCTCATGCCTGTAATCCTAGCTACTCAGAAGGCTGAGAACTGAGGATCACAGTTCAAAGTCAGCCAGGGCAGAAACGTCTGTGAGACTCATTTCCAATTAACCACCAGAAAACCAGAAGTGATGCTGTGGCTTAAGTGATAGAGCACTAGCCTTGAGCTGAAGAACTCAGGGACAGCTCCCAGGCCCAGAGTTCAAGCCCCATGGCTGACCCTTCCCTCCCCCTCCCAAAAAAAGCCTCTGCATTCTGGGAAATGTTTCTTTTTTTGTGTGTCAGTCCTGAAACTTGAACTCAGGGCCTGAGCTCTTTCCCTTAGCTTTTTTTCTCAAGGCTGGCATACTACCACGGGAACCACAGCTCTACTTCTGGCTCTTTGCTAGTTAGAGATAAGAATCTCATGAACTTTCCTGCCTTGGGTGGTTTTGAATTTCACTTTTCAGATCTTAGCCTCCTGAGTAATTGGCTGTGAGAATCACTGACATCTGGCAAATTTTTCGTACTGTGAAAGAGAGTAAATAGTTAATGGTAGTTACTAGATTAGTTATGCTAATTGTTTAATCAGTAATTCAAACTATGTCATAGTGAAATGTGGGATCCAAGTATACACTCAGAATGTAAGATCAGTTTATTTCTAGTCCCACATAATGTTATACACTTCTTCTGGTTGGTGGGCCTGAACTCTGGGCCTGGGCACTGTCCCTCAGCTCTTTAGCTCAAGGCTAGCACTCTACCACTTGAGTGACAGCTCCACTTCTGGCTTTTTCTGCTTATGTGGTGCTGAGGAATCAAACCCAGGACCTCATGCATGCAAGGCAAGCACTCTACCACTAAGCCACCTTCCCAGCCCCTGTTATACGCTTCTGTTCTTGCTTTTATAAGCTTGATTTACACTCCATAGATTTCTATATCTTACGTATTTTTTCTTTCAATCTATTCTACTTCTTTTACTCTTTCATTATTTTAAAACTTCTTTGTTACTTTTCCTATTTCTTCTAGTCGTATCATGGAAATTAATTGCATTTATTATTTAATAGTGCTTTTGAGAACATTATTTAATGATATTCAAATAGTTCCTTCAAATTCAATTTCTAAAGTAGATACATTGAAAGGAATCTTTATGAAAAGATAACAATCTTCCTTTCAATAGGGGATCTAGAGTAATTTTCTTTTTCTTTTGTTCTGGTCCCATGGCCTGGGCTCTGTCCCTGAGCTTTTTTTTTTTTGGGTCCGGTCGTGGAGCCTGAACTCTGGGCCTGGGCGCTATCCCTCAGCTCTTAAGCTCAAGGCTAGCCCTCTACCACTTGAGTCACAGCGCCACTTCCGGCTTTTTTCTCTTTGCTTATGTGGTGCTGAGGAATTGAACCCAGGGCCTCAGGCATGCAAGGCAGACGCTCTACCACTGAGCCACCTTCCCAGCCCTGTCCCTGAGCTTTTGTGCTTAAGGCTAGCATTCTGCTACTTGAACCATAACTCTACTTCTAGTTATTTTGGTCTTAATTGGAGGTAAGACTCTGATGGACATGCCCAATCTGGCTTGGAACTTCAATCCTCAGATCTCAACTTCTTGAGTAGCTACAATTATAGGCTTGTGCCACCAATGCCCAGCTAAAATCATTTTTTAAAAATAGTACCACAGTTTAAACTTAGGGATCTTACATATGCTCAGGTTTACTGAGTTTGTTCTTGCCTACTTCTTCACTTGAGCTATGCCTCCAGCCTAGCATTTATTTTAATGGTTAATTGGAGATTGAGTCTCATAGGCTTTTCCATCCAGGGACTTTGAATTCAATACTCCAGATCTTACCCTCCTGAGAAGCTAAAATTAGAGGGAGAGGTCAAGCTTTTTTGTTTTGTTTTGACGGTTGTGGAGCTTGAACTCAGAGCCTGGATGCTATCCCTGAACCTCTTGTACTCAAGGCTAGTGTTTCTACCACTTGAGCAATAGCATCACTTCCGGTTTTTGGGTGGTTAATTGGAGATAAGAATCTCATGGGGATTTTTCTGTTTTGCTGGCTTCAAAATGCGATTCTCAGATCTCAGCATCCTGGTAGCTAGGATTATACATGTGAGCCAATGGGGCCTGGCTTTTTGCTTCCGCTCCAATTCTGCACAGAAATGGAGGGATAAAAGATGGACAAATGTAGCAGTGATACTCACTAGCCAGTATGTTAAAAACTATACAACTTGTGGGTGGGAACGGGAGGGAAAATCTGGGAGAAAACGATAGAAGGGGTAACAATGTTCAAAAATAAATGCATTTTTTACCTGACTTATGTAACTGTAACAATAATTGTTTATGTAAATTTATGTAACAATAAATTTTTTTAAATGATGAAAAAATAATTTCCATTCTATGGACAATGTTGGCCAAGTGTATGGCTTCCGCCCTTCTTTTACAATATTTGGTCTCTGGGTTAGGCCACAAGCTCCCCAAGGAACTACTATGTAGAAATATTAATTTTGATTGTTAGTATTCAATTTTTCACTAATTAAAAAGTTAAATAATTTAAAAAGTTTATTGTTTGCTTCTAAACACTGTAATAGAATGCTCTTGCTTATCTTGTTAACTTGTTAAAATCATATGATCCATAGATTTGGTAGAACAAAGAATAACATGATGAATAGCATGCATCATACCTGTGGAAGAGTGGGGTAGTGAAATGTCACTACCCTATCCTGGAAATTGTTTGTATGTTTGAAGTAGATTATTTTGTATGAATGTGTGGGAATATATTCTATATAGCATGCATTTCAAATGTTTAAGCTGTTTATGAATATGTATTTGTGAGGGAAGCAATAGCCTTTATTGTATATTCATATATTTTTAAAAATAATTCATTTCTATATAATTATCTGTCTCTAGTGTACATTGCCATGGGGGACACTTTCTAGTCTACAGTTAGAGAATCGCAAAGATAGTGATGATGGTCCCATCATGTGGGTACGTCCAGGAGAACAAATGATCCCTGTGGCTGATATGCCAAAGTCACCCTTCAAAAGGAAAAGGTTTGTTAAATTCTTTTTCTTTTTCCTTAGGATGGCGATATGTTGGGGTATATGTGCAATAGTTGGGAAGTTGGACGTTTAGAACATGACTGGAATGTACATTAAAAAATACATATTGATAGTAACTTTTTTTAAAACAGCCAAATTTAGCAAATGAGTTATAATTAAAAATTGAAAAATGTTATTCATAGAGAGAGATTTTGAAGAAATTTAACATGTATTGTCAGGGCCTGTATTAAGAGAACTAAATCCTCTTATGGGAGGTATAAAATAATATCAAAACAAATAGAAAACCATATTATGTTCTAAGATTGGATAAGAATGAGAGCCTTTAAATATTTTTTTTCATTTCAATTAGACTCACATACTGCCTAACATGAGATAAATGTGTTTAAAATTTGTAGGAAGAAACTGGAAGAACAAAGTAAGGGGGAATTTGTTACTAGATTTGAAAATTGTTATCAAAGTCAAATTAATCATTGGGGTGGGATAAATTCTGAAATATATTGTAGCATATTGAGAACTTAATACCTGAGACAGTGGAGAAAGGAAGGTTTACTTAATAATAATGTTGGCATTATTGGCAGTCTTATCTGAAAGAAAAAATAAGGAAGAATCCCTATTGTGCTAGAAATAAATTAGAGGTTAAATATAAAAGATAAACAAAAAAAATCAGCATTAAGTTTTTAAACCTGGAACTCATCTTCCTAAGCAAGATAATGGAATATAATTGCAATGCTGTTTGGGAGATGATAGTTATTAACAATAAGTTCAAATCTATCTTACACTAACCTAAAATAATGATAACATATGATACTCAAGTTTAGTATGCAAAAAAATTCATTCCAAAACTTATACAAATATAAAATAGCAATATAAAAATTGTGCCTAGGCAGGCCAGTTTATCTAAAAAAAAGTCTAGATGTTGCATGCCATTATATTGACAGAAATTATCAATAAAATAATATTATGGGCTAGTAGACATGTGAATAAAATCTTTAATATATTGTTACAGAGGGTAGGCTTCTATATTCATTTTGTCAAAGTATTCTGGCAATAGCTTTTTCAATTTAATATTGAATTTAGTATCCTTGCTTTTAGGAATCTATCCCAAGAAATAAAAGCACTAAAAGTTAATATGTAAGGATATTAATTGTCTCAGTGTAGTAAGAAAAAAATCAATCTAGTCTGAATGTTCATCCACAAGGGAATGGGTGAATACACATTTTGTACATTCTTACTAAAGTATGTTGAAATAGTCTTTAGATCTGAAAGGAAAATAATGACACCTTGAAAAAGCAAAATGGAAAATAATAAATAATGTAGTATGTTTTTTTTGTTTTTGGTAGTAGTGGGGAAGATTAAGATAGAGCCTTGTCTCATAACCCAGGTTGGCTTTGAACTCATAATTCTCCTGTCTCAGCTTCTGCAGTGTGAGGATGTTTTTGATGTTTGCCACTAAGCCTGGCTTATGATTCTATTTTTATGATAACATCCACATATAAATATATATTTATGTGAGCACAGAGAAAAGTTGCAAAAATAAACAGTAAGTTAACATTGTGGACATGGAGGTAAGACTAGTGTAGACAATAGCTTTTATTTTAGGCTTCTAAAATTGTCAGATGAGTTACAGTAATTATTAAAGAAATAAAAAGAAAAATACACAGAAAAGAAAATAAAAAGAGCAAACATGGACTATGTCAGACCTCTTACTAATGTATCTCTAGCATCTTCAGTGTCAGCTGCTTAATAAATTATTGATGAATGAAATTTTGCAGCAAATGAAATTTATAGCAAATGATAAAATTAATGTGTTTCTCAGAGATTATTACCTTTTTTTCAAGCATTGTGCTAAGTGCTGCATATGTATTAATTCATTTGAATTTGGCATTAATGAGACCAATCTTGTAGGCTCGAAAGCCTGTTAGTTTCTATAAAGAGGCAACAATATTAGCCAACTTTCACTTTTACTCAGAACATTATTGAGCAAAAAAGTTATAGCAGCATGTGTGTGTGTGTGTGTGTGTGTGTGTGTGTGTGTGTGTGTATGTATATGTGCACGTGCACTAATGCAGTGTTTCAGAGTGGTAAGTAGCAGTTAAGAGTGGGAAATGAGAAACTAGTGATACCTAGGAGGAAAAACGAGTATTTAGGGGGATTTTTTTTTTTTAATTGGAGGGGATTACAGTTCTGGGTTCTGGGGACTGTTGCTGAGCTTTTGTGCTCAAGGCTATCACTCTACCACTTGAACCACAGCTCCACTTCTGGCTCTTTTGATAGTTAATTGGAGATAAAGAGTCTCACAGACTTTCTAGCCTGTGCTGGCTTTGAGCCACCATCCTTAGATCTCAACCTTCTGAGAAGCTAGGAGTACAGGTGTGAGCCACCAGCACCTACCTACAATTAAAATTATTAAACTCACAAAATGATGACATAGTCTTTGCCTTCAAATGTTAATTATTGATTCTGAAGCCATGATGGAAGCACACAAAAACTATATTCTGTAAAATGAAAGAGATTTTACAGTATATGTGGATACTGCAGAATCTGTTTACAACCTCTCTTTTCTTTCTATAAATAAAATACTATGGTGGAAGATAGATGATGGCCAGAGTTGATTTCACTGTTTTATCCACTAGATAGTAAAACTGCAACGAGTGAGGCTAAGTAGTTAGCAAATAGCTTATAGATTAAAGGAGGGAAACAATGGAGGAAGGGTCATTGGAAGAAGATGTCATAATACAGTGTAAACAAAGTTTATTTTTATCATCAATAAATTGCCCATGTTGGTAGAAGTGTCTACTGCCTGTTTGTGTGTGTATGTGTGTGTGTTTCCTTGTTTAACTTAATTTTTATCCTTCTCTCACTTTCAGAAGTAAAGGGAAACTTTTTTCTGTTAGGGGCTATTTCGATATTTTTATCATTAACAGGCTACACAAAATTTTCAATATAGGCAAACAACTGAGGGCAGCTGAGAAGAAGCATATGAGGAGCCTATGTGTCTGCCCTTCATATACCAAATGTTTCATGGGCCTTATTCAGCCACTCATTCCCTAGAGTATAACCTCACATTTGTCAATTATATCTCATTTATTAGGCTCATTGCCTACAGTGGTACATGGTGTTTCAAATATGTTCTACCAATGCTGAACTAATGCATTGAAAAAAATTATTCAAGAAGTATGTCTTTCATTAGCCAAGGGATTTCAGTGGGAGTATATTCCCACTGAATACAGTAAACTCAGTTCCTTGTGAAGAATATGTTTCAAGACCTCAACGTGGAAGCCTGAAACCTTACTGTAGAACCCTGTATGTATTATGTTTTATTCCTATACATGTATATCTATGATGAAGTTTACTTTATAAATTAGGCATAGTAAGAGATTAACAGCAATAAATAATAACAATACACTGTAGTGAAAGGTATGTAAATGTATTCTACCGCTCTCAAAATAGTATGCTTTCACCAAAATCTATACTAAACTAACATGGTGATATGGAGGTGAGGTAGGTAGAAATAATAGCTTTTGATTTTAATATCTAAAATGGCTTGATGAGTTATAGTATGCCAACTTTTCTTTGTCACACCTGAATTGCCAATAACGCTATTGTCATTTAGGGTTATTGTTAAGTAAAATAAAGGTTATCTGAATCTATGTGCTAGGATCTTGAGACAGTTTGATAATGATGGCAGCAACTTTACTGAGTGTCTGATATACAGGTACTAGTCCCTGGACAAGGGGATGATTTGAATCCTAGGCAAGACAAAGTTGAATGGTACAAGATTTCATACTGAGTTGTTTATTTCTTGGATTTCCTACTTAATATTCTAAAACCACAATTGACTGCAAATAACTGAATCAGAGGGAAGTGAAATCACTATAAAGAAGACCTACTGTAGGGCAATAGATCATTTGATGGAATACATCATTTGAAAATTTTTTTTAATTAAAAAAAAATTTTTATTGCAACGATACTGCACCAAGGGGTTACAGTTAACGTGAGTAAGGTAATGAGTACATTTCTTATTGAGCATTGTTACACCCCTCCGTTTTTCCCCATAATTTTGTTTCTTATTCAAGTATATTTATCTGTATAGCTGCCATTCTTGTGTATAGTAGGAAAAAGGGCTTTGTATGCATATGTTTTGTTTTTCTTATTTATTACTATTTTTTTGTGTGTGTATGCTAGTACTAGGGCTTGAATTCAGGGCTGAGAATTGTGTCTGAACTTAAGTATAGCACTCTACCATTTGACCTACAGCTCCACTTCCATGGTTTTGTTGATTCTTAAAATTTGATTTGAAATAGGTTGTTTAAAGTTCCTTTTTCTCTGAATTAATATGATTATTGAATGTTTGATGGCAAGTAAGGATCAATATAAATATAAATCTCTTGAAAACAGAACTACCAATGAAATAAAAAACCTTCAGTATCTACCTCGAACCAGTGAGCCTCGGGAGATGCTCTTTGAAGACAGGACACGAGCACATGCAGATCATATAGGACAAGGTTTTGAACGACAGACGACAGCTGCTGTTGGTGTGCTGAAGGCTGTGCACTGTGGAGACTGGTATATATAACTACTGCTATTCAATGAAAGGCTTTCTTGGCTTATAAAGTTTTTCTTAGTGATTAGTTAAACCAAGATTTTAAGTTGTTAAAATCAACTTTTAATTATTTGGATTGTGTGAAATAATGTTTTTAATCATCATTGACAAGCAGGACGAAAATTGCAGTAAAGACAACTAAGTTTACTTGATTCTTGCCATATGCTCCTTTACAAATGTTGTCTTACTAAAGTTTCTTAACTACTTTTTTCTTACTAATTTTGGTAATATTTATTACAAAGGAACTGAACCCAAGGCTGTGAAATAATTAGGGTTTTAGATCTGACTAGACTTTTGTTTTTTACTGTTCTACTTTGCTGGTCCCTTTGTAGTTTTAGTATCTGGTTGCTGATCTGTATCTATCTGCCTATCTATCTGGGTATCTATCTATGTATCAATATCTATCTATGGGGTTATATATGTGTACCCATAGATAGATAGATAGATAGATAACACACACATATATATATGTATATATATATTTCTCTTAAATAAGTTTTTAAAAGAGTTTCAATTCCAGAAGTCAGGTTATGAGTACAGTGTCACCCCTTCTGAACTATTTGGTTCTCCTTGGTTATCTTTCTTTTTCTCTGAATTATATAATTATTGAATGTTTGATGGCAAGTAAGGATCAATATAAATATAAATCTCTTGAAAACAGAATTACCAATGAAATAAAAACCTTTAGTATCTACCTTGAATCAGTGAGCCTCGGAAGATGCTCTTTGAAGACATGCTATAGGATCTCCTGCTTTCTTATGATTTGATTTTTTTTTTGAGTTTGTGTTTTTTTATGTTTATTTATTCTTTTTTACTTTCAGCCTATTTGTAAGCTTATATTATTGTTCTGTGAAGATACCATAAAGCTAGGTCTTTCTTTTTTTTTTTTTAATGATTAGTCTTTTAGTTGGAGTAATTAGACCATTTAATTTAATATAACAATTAATTTGGATCTATTGTCTTTTTACTCATTTTCATCTCCTGCTCTTCAGTCCTTTTTTTCCTACTTGACATTTTTAGAATTCTATTGTATCTATGTTGTTTCCTTAATTGCTATAGCTTTGTTTTTGTTTTATTGCACTAAGCACTATCTACCTTCAAATATATTTTTTAATGTTATGTGTAAGTATTCTTAATAGTATATTTTCATTTCTTTCCCCTTTTCCCTATTTCTGGTAAACTAAATGTTGTTATATATGTTACTTTAAATGTTCTACAAACCAGAGAGCGAGGGAAGGAGTGACATTGTCCAAAAATAAATATACACTTTACCTGTCTTAGGTAACTGTAACCCCCCTGTATATCATCTTTATAATAATAATAAAAAATTAAAAAATATTCTGTAAACCCTATAGTTAAATACTTTAAGGAATTATTTTCTAAAGGAATTTTTAAAAATGAGAAAAATATCTCTTATATTTACCATGATGAGTGCTTTAAAATCCTTTGCATAGATCTAAGTTTTCAACTAAATACCATTTTCCTTAGCCTAAAGACTTCCTTTAACATTCTTTGTTATACTGGTCTTGTGAAATATTTTTTTCAGTGCACTTGAACTATTTTATTTTTTCCTCTCATATCGGGTATTACTATGTAGCTCAGGCTGCCATTGCACACACTGTGTAATCCAAGCTGGCCTTAAATTTGTGTTCCTTCCGCATCAGCTTCCTGAGTACTGAGGATACAATTGTATACTACCATGCATGGCTAAAAATGTTTTTACTTTGCATTCTGGAGAATAATTTTGCTAGATATAGAACTCTGAAGTGTTTTTTTTTCTTTCAGTACTTTAAAGATAATCCATTCTCTTTCAGTTTGCATTGTCTTTGTTGAGAAAACTGCACTTCAGTCAGATTATTCTTTCTCTGTGTAACATAATTTCTAGACCTTATCATTAGTCATTAGAAATTTAATTACGATTTGCTTCATGTGCCCTTCACATATTTCCATTGCTTGGAATTTCACTTCAAAATTGATTTTTGAGCATCATCTGTAAAAATATATTTGTATATTCCTAATTAGAAGAATTTGGGATTTCTTTTATTTTTTTTTTACAATTATATTTAAAAACAGTGAAAATGCCAGTGAACAGCTAATACTTTTCTAATGAACATCTTACATTTTTAAAGCATTATTATTATTATTATTATTGTTAGTTGTGGGGCTTGAACTTAGGGCCTGGGCACTTTCCCTGAGCTCTTTTTTGCTCAAGACTAGCTTTGCCACATTGAGCCACAGTGCCACTTCTGATTTTCTGGTAGTTAATTAGAGGTAAGAGTCTCATGAACTTTCCTGCCTCGGCTGGCTTTGAACTGTGATCCTAAGATCTCATTCTTTTGAGTAGCTGGATTTTAGGTATAGGCGTAAGCCACCGGTGCCCAGCTTATTAAGCATATTAAAACCAATTAATACATTTTAATAAGTAATAAAATGTTAAAAAATCTATTTTTATGCATAAAAATAAAAAATACTTTTGGTGTCAGGAAAGTATTCTCTTTTCACATATAAACTTCTTGCTTTGAATTTATTTAGAATTAAATATTAATGGCACATCTTTTTATTATCTCATTTTTTAGGCCTGATCAACCCCGAATAACCAAAGATGTAATATGTTTTCATGCTGAAGATTTCTTAGAAGTAGTTCAACGAATGCAGTTAGATTTACATGAACCTCCACTGTCTCAGGTATATTTTAAATAATTATTAGTCATTATTATATTTATTGTAATTAAAAATATTAGTTTAGGTTTTAATATGGAAAAAGACTTATATTACTTTTTTTTTTTTTTTTAGTGTGTCCAGTGGGTTGATGATGCAAAACTTAATCAACTGAGGAGGGAAGGCATTCGCTATGCCAGGATTCAGCTGTATGATAATGATATTTATTTTATTCCAAGGAATGTTGTTCATCAGTTCAAGACTGTTTCAGCTGTATGCAGTTTAGCTTGGCATGTTCGACTCAAATTATATCATTCTGAGGAGGATATGTCTCAGAATGCAGTTACTCATGAAACAGGCATATCACCAGATCCCACATCATCAGTTCTTGGAACTCACACTGACAACATAATTTGTGCTGTAAGCAAAACCTCATTGGATTCTGTTCTTTCAGACAAAGTTCATTCTAAATATGATTTACAACATCTTAAACATGAACCAGTTGCATCTGTGAGAATCAAGGAAGAAGCGGTGAATGTAACTATTTCTGAAAAGACTAGAGCGTTGATTAATATGGATGGCAAGAATGTTAAGGCGAAATTGGATCATGTTCAATTTACAGAATTTAAGATCAACGTGGATTCTAAATTTGAAAATAGTAAAGAATTAAAGGAAGAATTGTGCCCTAGAAGTCTTACAAGTCTAGCTGACACAAGGCAACACAGCTCTATACACTCAAATCAAGATAGAAAAGATGACATTTTGTACTAAATTTTGTATATAATAGCATTAATTTTTTAAATACTGTAATAAAGATTCATGAAATCTGAAAGCAAGCTCAGGACTTGCTCTCAAGTCTGTTACAAAATATAGTTTATGTAGCTTTGTAACATTCCTCAGTGCCTGTCCCTAACTGTGAAGTATCAAGCACTTAAGGCCAGATGCACTGTAACATTGCAGGCTTAAACATAAAGGAGTCTTTAAAAAAATCATTTGAGTTGGAATTATAGGTTTTAGAATAGAAATGACATTTACACACACACACACACACACACACACACATTTTGTAATATGAGCCAGAATTCTTTTTTGACAATTTAAAGGTTTGCCATAGAGCTTATTTATACCAGTTTTTGTTTTTTCATTTAAAATATGTCAGCACTGTAGTGTAAATAGCTTTTTAAAAATCTTTTTAGTGTAATTTATACTGAAATGTGAGCCCCTTAATAAAGGTTCATAATAATATGTGTTTTGCTGGGTCTGCAAAGACAAACAAAATTCAGCTAAATCATGTTTGATATGCTTTTCTTTGCTGGTGTATATATACATAGATATATATGTATGTGTATGTATATATACATATATATGTATGTATATATATGTATGTGTATGTATATATACATATATACATATATATGTATGTGTGTATATATATATGTATATAAAGAGAGAGCATGGTAATGGAGTGTAAATGTATGTATTCAAATCTAGTAAATATTTAAATTTCCCACACTGTGCAAGTATTTTAAAAAAACAAGATTCATTTATGAAAGAATATATGTGTTTATGTATGAGAATGTATATATGTATATTATATTTTGCACAATTTCTTAAGTTACTGAATAAGATGAAACTTATGTGAAACTTCTTAGCCCTGTTTCCTGGAACACATTTAAAAATATTTATATTCAACATTAGGAAAGCAGCTTAGGTAATAGAAATAGTTTTAGAAAGTTGAGGAGAAACAGGTATGCTAATGATACCTAATTGTTCTAACCAATGAAGTGATGTGGCCAGATTATTTAGCCCTAATATACCTTTTCTTTATTGTGTATGGAATAAAAAAGTTAAGACAATTTTCTAAAAAGCACTGTGCTTAGTAGTAGTGAGTAAAAAAGTCTTTACAGAAAGTTTAATGTGATCAAGTAAAAATCTTCTTTTAACATTTTTCTTTCAGGAGAAAATATGACAATAACAAAATTGTAAAATAAGGGCAATGACTCAACTGCCATATTTAGAGATAACAAAAACTGTTACTGTCTCTTTCTCAGGATCCCCTCCCGGCCCTAGCAAGGCAAACCACTTGGTAAACTTCCTTTTCTAAAGTTCTAGAAAGTAAATTGTGGTAGGAAACAGGATAATCAGTGCCTAACTAAACATGTGTAAAATCTGTTCAGTATGTGCTTCATCATGATTTCAGATTGTTTCTACTTCTGTAATGAAAAGCCGAACAGTCTTTGGTATATTCATGGATGTAAGGAATCCTACTCATTGTAAATCTAATTTGTTTGTCCTTGTATTATTTAGTTGCCTCTCAGTTGGTGTTTTTTGTACTGCTTTTGTGGAGGCTGTTAATTTAATTTCAGTGGTTTCTGGCCTATCCTCATTAGTGCTCTCAATCAAAATATTTTTAGTTAGAAGTCATTTTATAAAAAATTTCAGCAGAAAAATAAAACTCAACTGCAACAATGGTATCAGTTCTGGCTCAGAGATAGGCAAATAACATAGGAAATCTGATAGCCTATAGGAAATCAGTGTGCAACGGGGGAAGTTTCATGCAGGTAGGAAAGGTATAAATCATGATAATGTAAATAGGATATGTTTTATATATCATCATCCTTTTTCTGACCTATTTAATCTTCTGTTTTAAACTAAAATTTCAGGATTTGCACCTACCTTCTTAGGAGACACAAGTTCCTAACAAGCTAGTATTCAACAGCAGAAAAAGATGTCATTACTTTTTTTTTTTTTTTATGAAAGTGATATATGAGCAAGGTGTGTTTCCAGTTTTCCAGTAGCATTTTCATAGATACATTGAGGTCAACTGTAAGAAAATATCTTTAAGGTATCCTTGCAAATTTGTGAGCCTTAACTTTTTAACTTAAAGCAAGGCATGTCTAAAACAATAATAGTTGTTGCTTTCGGGTATAGTTTGTTAAGTTCCTCACAACTTGAACTTTTTTTCTTCGGTTGTGGGGCCTGAACTCTGGGCTTGGGCACTGTCCCTCAGCTCTTCAGCTCAAGGCTAGTGCTCTACCGAGCCACAGCACCACTTCCGGAATTTTCTGCTTATGTGGTGCTGAGGAATCGAACCCAGGGCCTCATGCATGCGAGGCATGCACTCTACCACTGAGCCACCTTCCCAGCCCCATAATTTGATCACTTAACTGCTTTGTAAAATGCATACTTCTTTGTGGAATTGAAGTATACGTACACAGGTAGGCTCAAAATTTCAAGAGAAAGCCTTGTTAACCCTTTGAATAATACCATGTTTCTTGTTTTACGGGTTTTACTTTCAAAGTCCTCTTCAGATGCTAAGAACTTGACTACCTTTGTTACACACAAAAAACTTGTATTTTCATATTGCATTATATTAGTGTTTTCCAGTTAGTACATTCCAGTTCTGAATACGTTTCGCTTTTATTTCCAATAACTTGGACCAGAACAATAAAGCACGTATGATATCATTTCAATGTGGTTATATGCTCTATAAAGTAATTAGGTAAATTATTAAATGGATATACAGACATTGGCATAAAAACCTCAGTGCTGTCTGCTATAGTGCTTTTTTTGTTTTTCCCAATTTTGTTTATATCTTTTTAATATATTCCATACTCAGGTTAGCTTCTTACTAGAAAAAGAATTAAACATTTTTGATATTTAGTTGCAAATTTACTAAAGCCATATATTCACTATCTTTCTTGCCTCAAGACTGTTGACCTTAAATAAAGATTAGGTTGATCTAGCGCAACACTTTGTGTATATGTGTGTGTTTGTGTGTGTGTGTGCGCGCGCAAATTTATTGGAAATGTTTGTTTCTGTAAATGGAGTATGTCCTTGAGGGTAAGAAAGATTTCTCAGTTTAAGTCCTTAAAGTGTTTAGTGTTCCTGAGAGTAAAACAATTTCTCCAGAATACTTATGACAGGTAAGATTTTGTAAATAATGAACTAGCATTGTTTTGGTAATCTGTCTCCAGTTTTTTTCCTTGGATAGTTTTGTTGTTATGTAAAGTAATTATCTCACAATTCATTTTGCATTTAGCAAAGGTACAAGTTTCGTTTTTGTAGTTTGAAAGGTATTTTCCTTGTCTTCCACCTTTTAATAAATACTAAGATTGTTAACCACAATCCTTTTTTACCTTTGTTTCTTAATTATTTTCTTGAATTTGACATCTTAATTTCAGAATCTTTAAAAGGTCTTTTCTTTTTTTAAAAAGCCAGCAAAATAGTGAAAGTGATTACAATTTGAGAAGGTCTTTCCTCTTAACCACTAATACTAAATAATGGACTTACACTAACAGAAGAGGAAAATATTGTGGGTTACCTTATTAAGGTCTTTAGATAGGTATGGGTAATGGGAATGACATGGCAATTACCTTGCTGTTAACCCTAGATATAACTGTATGCTTTAGGCTGTTGAAAAGTGACATGAATTTAAGACCTTCAGAGAATAGATAATTTCTCCCAATTGATTATCATATAAAAGGAAAATATTACTTGTTTTAGAATTAATTGTCTACTTCATGAGCTATGTTTGGTATATTTGGTAGTCATAAGACACTTCAGGTAGTTAAGATGAAAATTCAGAGAGCTGTAAGTTTTGTTTTGGTCTTCTAGTTTTGTTTTGTCTTTTCTTGTAAGAGAGTAAGTTACAAGACAAATATACTATCTCTTCTTGGGGAGCAGGCAAGGAATGGAGAAGAAAACACTTATTTCAATTTATCTTCCCTTCCAGTCCGGACTTTAGACTCAGAATTTATGAGTGAGCTGGGGGAAAAAATGTTAACCTGAAATTAAAAGTGAAATGTACTTTTTTGGTTGGTCCTGGAGCTTGAACTCAGGGCCTAGGTGCTGTACCTGAACTCCATTTTGCTCAGGGCTAGCCTTTGCCACTTGAGCCATAGTTCCAGTGTCAGCTTTTTCTGAGTTATTGGGGATAAGAGTCCATAGTCTTTCCTGCCTGAGCTGGCTTTGAACTGCCACCCTCAGATCTCAGGCTTCATATACCACCAGTGTTGGTGTGAACAGTACTTCTTGTATGTTTTTTTTTTCTTTGTGGGGTAGGGGGTACTGTGATCTGCCTACCAACAATTGCATTGGCAGAATGAGACTGCTGTATTGTTTTATAATTTTGAAACTTAAAATTTATGCATTTATGATTTTAAAATACTATGCTTCCCCATAAAGCTCACTGATGTTGCACTACTTAAAGAATATTAAGAAACAAACTCAGCTGGGCAGTAGTGGTTCGTGTCCATAATCCTAGTTACTCAAGGCTAAGATCTGAAGATCATAATTCAAAGCCAGCCTGGGCAGAAAGGTCCATAAGGCTTTTTCTTCTGGTTGGTGGTGGGGCCTGAACCTGGGCCTGGGTGCTGTCCCTCAGCTCTTCAGCTCAAGGCTTAGCACTCTACCTCTTGAGCCACAGCACCACTTCCGGCTTTTTCTGCTTATATGGTGCTGAGGAATGGAACCCAGGGCCTCATGCATGCAAGGCAAGCACTCCACCATTGAGCCACCTTCCCATGAGACTCATCTCCAGTTAACCTCAAAAAGCTGTTAGTGGAACTGTGGCTCAAGTGGGTAGACCACTAGCCTGAGCACAAAAGCACAGGGACAGCATCCAGGCCAAGAGTTCAAGCATCAGGGCCAGCCAAAAGAAAAACAACAACAAAACTTAGAAACAATATGATCACAAGAAGTTTGTGTAAAAGTAAAATTTATTTGGCCAGTTTGATTCCTGCTCTGCACAAAATTTGTTTCTTCAATTTTAACTGAGCCTTACTGTTATGTAAAATCACTTGTTTTTCATCTTTAAGATAATTGGCCCTGCTGCCTGGGCCAATATTCCTAGTTACTCAGGAGGTTGAGATCTGCGGATTTGCCTTTTTTGTTGTTGTTGGTCATGTGGCTTGAATTCAGGGCTTAGGTGCTGTCCCTGAGCTTTTTTGTTCAAGGCTAGTGCTCTACCACTTTGTGCCACAGCACCCCTTCTGTTTTTCTGGTGGTTAACTGTAGATAAGAGTCTCAAGGACATTCCTGTCTGTGCTGGCTTTTGATCCTCAGGTCTCAGCCATCTGAGTAGCTAGGATTACAGGTGAATTATAGGCACCTGGCTCTAGTAGCTGAAGTATATTAAAACAATATAAAGTAGATGATTAAAATGACAATATACTCTTAAGTGCTATTACAGTACCTCATAGCTTAAGGCAGAATTTTTTTCTAAGTCTTATGTAAGAGTTTGGTTATAAAAGTCATTCTGTTTATACATTTTATGTGGTTCTCCCTACTAATATTAGAAACATTAAATAAAATCAGTATACTTGTATATCCTTGAGCAATGCACATAGTCTATTTCTCAACAGTAAATGGGAGGGTAGTACTTACTGTGTTAGTTGGTGGTGAAAATTAAATGACAGAACATGCTGAATGTTCCTTAGCACACTGCATGGCTTATAGACATTAAATGTTAGCTTCTGCTTCTTGAATTACAAAGTAAAATAGAAGAGCTATGTGGACTGGGTGACACTAATCAATTCACACTTTGATCATTCTTTGTCTCTTTCACGGATTCCTCTCTAATTCTGAACAGAAGATAGGCATATGGGAAGAAAAAGGTTCATGAGGGCCAGACACAGACCTGTAATCCCAGCTCTTCAGGAGGTAGATATTAGGAGGAACATAATTTAGGACCAGCTTGAACAAAAGCAAATGAACTCCATTTCAAAAAGGTGGGAATGATGGAGTATGCCTGTAATCTTACCTACACAGGATGCCTAAATAGAAGGCCTTCAAGGTAGACCAGCCCAGGCAAAAGTGTGAGACCCTATTAAAAAAATGAGTTAAAGCAATAAAAAGGCTGGAGACATGGTATAAGTGATAGACTGCCTGCTTGACAGGTATAAAGCCTTGAATTTAAATGCTAGTACCACCAATAAAAACATTTCATGACATGGTCAAGACAAGGTATTGTGGATGCAGGTGGACACTTACAAAATACTATTTCACTGTTTTGCTCAGGGTTAATAAAATCACATCCCATTCTGCCTATTCTTTTTTTTTTTTTTGGTCCGGTCATGGGCCTGAACTCTGGGCCTGGGCGCTGTCCCTTAGCTCTTCAGCTCAAGGCTAGTGCTCTACCACTTGAGCCACAGCGCCACTTCCGACTTTTTTCTTTTTTTGCTTATGTGGTACTGAGGAATCGAACCCAGGGCCTCATGCATGCAAGGCAAGCGCTCTACCACTGAGCCAACTTCCCAGCCCCCATTCTGCCTATTCTTGATAAAAATGAATTACAAATTTGTGGGTGCAGTCAAAGTGAACTCTCATGGTATAATGCAGAAAGACTGACTTAAAGTATAAAGTGTTCCCTAAAACTTAACCTTTTGTTCTTGCATTTGATATGTCAGTACTCTTTTTGTCAGCACTTTTTATTTTCACCCTCCACTTTTACAAGGAGACCTATTTTGTAGATAGTATTTGCAATTAAACTCTTGTTTATCCTAGACTTTGGGGTAATTTCACTGGGTGTACCTGGACTTTAGTTTCTTTTTCTTTTCTTTTTTTGTCTGTGGTGGGGCTTGAACTCTGGGCTTGTGCGCTGCCCCTGCACTCTTCAGCTCAAGGTGAGCACTCTACCGCTTGAGCCACAGTGCCACTTCCAGTTTTTGAATGGTTTATTGGAGATAAGTCTCATGGACTTTCCTGTTGGGGCTGGTCTTGAGCTGTGATCCTCAGATCTCAGCCTTCTGAGTTGCTAGGATTACAGGTGTGAGCCACCTTGCCTGGCTCTTCATTATTTTTTGTTTTTGCCAGTCCTGGTGCTTGAACACAGGTTCTGGGCCTGTCCCTGAGCTTCCCTTTTTGCTCAAGGCTAGCACTCTACCATTTGAGCCACAGTGCCACTTCCAGCTTTTTCTGTTTATGTGGTACTGAGGAATTGAACCCAGGCTTCATGCATGCTAGGCAAGCACTCTACCACTAAGCCACATTCCAGCCCAGTTTCTTCATAAGTACAATATTTTCTCTCTATATTTAAATCATTGCATATTTCCTGTAATAAGGACACCAAAAATATTTTGCACTTGCTCTGCAAACATGACCTGCATTAAAAGAAACTCTTTTTGCAGTTTGTGGTTGTTTCTTGATAAAAAGCTAAAATGTCTCATATTTTTCAACAAAAAGGTGCTTTTATGACTCAGGTGCTTAGTGTATGAATGTGTCGTGTGGTTTCCTTTCACTATTACTTCTGTTTACCAGTCAACATTAGTTTACTTAATTTGCTAGCTTTCTGTCCTAGATTGAGAATGAACCCTGCCTAAAGGCCACATGTTGTCTGTCCGCAGGCCACATGTTACCCACCAACAGCTTTTGTATACTCCATGAAGTATACAAATAATGTCCAGTACCCAGAAAATGTTTGCTTATTCCTATGGTAGTACCATGTGCAGTCCTTTCTTTTCACTGGAGAGCTTATAGTAAGGTAATAAATGCATGAATGGTGTGTGTGTGTGTGTGTGCAGGTCCTGGGTCTTCAACTCAGGGCCTGGGTGCTGTCCCTGAGCTTTTTTGCTCAAGGCTAGTACTGTACCAGTTGAGCCACAGCAACTTTTACAGCTTTTTTTGCTCGTTAACTGGAGATGAGATTTTCATAGACTTTGCTGCGGGCTTTGAACTCTGATCCTCAGATCTCAGCCTCCCGAGTAGTTAGGATTATAGGCATGAGCCACTAGTGCCCAGCTGCATGAATACTTTTACCTGAACTAAAAAAAAAAATAACTTGAGTTAGTAAGACTTGACCAGTTTGGCTCTCTCAATTGAATTAGGTATATTTGGCCAATCCTGGAATATTTAGTTCCATGTATTAACTACCCTTCTCAATCTTATACTTATTCAATACTGCATCACAAATTCTAAGGTATTTATAATTGATTTTTATTTAGATTTGGCTTATTTTGTGTAGTTTCAAAAGCTTAATTAGAATTTAGGATGTCTTATTTTTTGGTGATATGCCTTAAACTTAATGTTACCTGTCTTTAGAAGGAAGAACTACTGCAAAATGATGTATTAATCTGTATTAGTAGAAAAAAAATTATGATCTGTGTTCTGTGTCTTGGAGAGAGAAGATCTTGCTTGTAGCTCAGACTGGCTTTGAACTCCTTAGCCTCTTGTTTTCACCTCCTGAGTGCTGTGATTTTAAGTGTGTACCACCACACCCAGCATATGTTAAGTGTATAAGATCTTTTTTTAAGAGAACAAAATTCTACTATAGATTTCTCACAGAGCTCTAAGTGTGGGCTAATAGGGAAAGAAGAGTCATACTACTTTTAAGTACTTCCATCTCAGCCTCATTTGAAGTACTTAAATACCTTGTCAAGGTGATTAGATAATTTCTCAAGCCAAGATATTTTCAAGAGTGAATGGAGCACTAACTCCATGAGACCTCAGGACATTAAAATGGGAACTTACTGGAGGATCCCTCTAACTTTAGAAACAGACGAGCTTAGGCTCTGACATGGAGGCGGAGGCAAAAGTGAATTTAATATAGGTGAAAATTTGCCGAATCTTCAGGTTCATTGTGAATGTGAACAAGAAGTTGTATGCCTAATTACTTTAGTAACTTAAATTTTCTTCCTAATTTAGAAGCATAGGCGTTTACTTTGATTATACAAGAGCCATGATATATAAAACTTCTATCCAAGTATATAGATTTAAGGCTTTGTATTTTTAAGTAATAACAGATAACTCAAGAGTCAAAGAAAAATGAAGTCAAAAACAAACTTTATTTACATAGGGGTAATAAGTACATCAATTATTCATATATTGAATAATTCAGCTTTGGGTTGACTAGGAGTCCATGACACATGAATCCTGTTTTATGAAAGTAGGAAACTACTTTTGGTATTTTCCCTCAGTTCTCTTGTTCTCTCCAGGCTTGCAAAGATTCAGAACACTGTAATTACAGCTTTTGAACAGCAACCGAAATGAGATGATGTACTTCAGAAGTCAGTCTCTCACAAAAAAGACATTATATCCAAGTTCTGTTAAAGCCCCAGCCAGTAAGGCCCACAAAGGAATGAAGACATAGGACACATTCATAGTAGTAAATTGTTCCAGTTTAGCACAGAGTGCCAGGCAGAAAGCTAACTTAAGTAACATTGCAATGAGGTACCACGCTTTTTTTTTAATATTGTGTGATCCATGTCGGGGGTCAAAACCAGACTTACATCGCCCAGCCATTTTCACAATCAGCATGACAAGAAGGATAGTATCAAATATCCAGACTGGAATAAATATGAGGAACCAGTTCCAAGGTGCCTTCTCATCCAGTTTCAACACCAACATGATCAAGAAGAGTAATGTGAAAAGCCAGGTGAGTAGTACTCTCTGAGCCAAGGACATTCTCATTTAAACAGTTTAAAGAGGCTGCTTCAGGGTCGAAAAACTGAAAAAATACCCTAAAAGAAGGAAAAGATTGTTTTGATACTTTCATTCCTAGTGAACAAAGTTATCTGTTTCCTACTCACAGACTTCCTAAATTTTAAAACATACTACCATTCTTCCTAAAGGTTTTAGCAGTCATTTACAGCATGTCCATCATTGCTTACAACCCATGACTAACGTACAAAGTAAATAAAATTTCTACTATATTCACTGAGCATGAGTTCTATTGAAAATGTCCCCAGAACAGGATGCCACTTAATTCTAGGAAACTGGAATAAACTGCACTTTAGGGATTTTCTTAACCTCCTGATAAACTTGAAAAGCCAGAGTTTTTCATTCATTGTTAGCGTGCTAAAATAAAGCATTTGAAATCAGAGTAGTGAAATGGAGGTGGTATTATGCCAAGAAGGGGAACTTTTTAAGGGAGGAATGGTAAAGTAAAAATTGTCAGATCAAGGGTTGCAAAGAGGTAATTTGGAAAAAGGTAATGACAATTCTGAGTTTTATATAACCTTTGAATCTTATATTTTTAAATCCTTGGGTTATTTTCTTGCTGAGGTAGACAATTTAAAAACTTTAGATATCCCAGCTTGGCACCAGTGGCTCATGCCTGTATCCTAGTTACTCAGGAAGATGGCTGAGATCTGAAGGAGCATGGCTGGAGATTAGTCCACGGAAAAAAAAATCCAAGAGACTCCACCTCCAAAATAACCAATAAAAAAGCACAGGCTGGAGATCTGAGGATTGCAGTTACAAGTTGGAAAGTCCATGAGATGCTTATCTCCAACTGACCACCAAAAAAGCCAGAAATGGAGCTGTGGCTGAAGAGGTAAGAGAACTGGCCTTGAGCATAAAAGCTTAGGGACATCACCCAGGCCCTGAATTCAAGCCCTAAAACTAACATAAAAAACCAAACCAAACAACAACAAAAACAGGTTGGTAACATGGGTCAAGTGATGAGTGACAGTAGCGCAAACAAGCCAAGCCAAACAACAAAAAACCCCAAGCGAACAAAACAAGCAAAAATAAGCCCCCCCCCAAAACACAAAACTTCAAGTATCTTACAATTATTTGATGTTAAATTATTGTATAATTGCTAGGAGTACTTTTTTTTTAAACCACAACTGTCACAGCAACTTTTTTTTTTTATCCTGCACAAAAACTGGTTTACTATTGCTCCAGGATGTTTCCTACTACATGGAAGGCTTGTTTTCTTTGCTGGACTACTTTATATTTCCCTTTCATTTCTTCAGTGCTAAAATTCCTTTAATTCTAAAAAACCTGAATATTTGGCTGGGAATTCATTTACTAATAAGCTTAGCTTAAATACAAGCATTTATCATACTCAGTCTTCACATATAGGTTTACAGTATGTTTCTCCACTTACTATTTTGTTTTTAATATCAGCTTTATTACCATATGGAATAAGGGTAAATAGAATTGAAAATGAGAAGTCAGACTGCATTCAGTTGATTAAGGAGTTAAGAGAACATAAGGCTATGAAAATGGCTCATGAGATTAGAAAGGGGACAAGGAGAAATTCCTAAGAAGGGGGGATCTAAATATTTAAAAAGCTGGAGGAACTAAACCATTAAGATATGAAAGGCTGCAGGTGAGAAAGCAGACTTGATGGGGGGAAAAGAACAGAAGGGGGGACATATGCAATACAAAAACACAGGTGATAAAGCAGCTGTAAAGACGAAGGGGGGGGAAAAGGAAAAGTTGAAGAAACTGGCTAGATGAAATAAATGCTTTAGTGTGCTTATATGTGAGAACTACTGTGATATGTTTTGTAACATCTGTGCTTAGCAGGGTGATGATCATGGTATTCTTGTATACACATTGCTATATTTCAAGTGGTATGAGTGTTCTAATTCATCTTTCCCCACTCATACCCATGTACCTGCTCTTTAACTTGTGAACTTAGTTGGCAAACTCTTAATACTGCAGTGTTTTGGCTCCCAGGAAGGCATTTTCCAATAAATGTCACCTTTCCTTGCCAGAGGCTGCCAGATAGTTGGTGGATTCTTTGGAAGGAGAGGTGGAGACCCGTGGGCTGAATAACTAGGTATGGGTTTAATTCTGTAAATTTAGTTTGTTCAGGCATAGGTTTATGAAGATACACTTGTTTAAACCTAACTTTGTCACCTGCCATTGGAGACAGCTTCATTTTCTTTTTCTCGCAAGAATAACAACTGCTATTGGAGGAGTAACTGCATTCACCACAGGTGCATAAAGGACTGGAGCTAATAGATGAAATAAAGGACATAATCTTACTTCTTCTACTTACAAGCTTTATGTGAGATACAACAAAGTTCACTTGCAGGCAAGCAATGGAAGAGGCACCAAGCTCGTATTTAAATGATGCTTGAGAGATTGTGTGTTATGAGCGATAACTAAGCAAATCTATTTACTTGGGACCGCTTCCTTTCCCACACTAAAATGTGCTCATCAAATTCGCCCCTCTTAGACTGCTATTTCAGTTATCTAGAAGATAGTTCTAGTCCTACGATTCTATATCTATTGTTAAAAACCTTCCCTTGTCCCCACGTGTCAATCTGACCCCATCACCTGTGTGCCTTCTTGTGTCAGATGTTGCTTCGGAAAACTCAGTGCTGCAAAAGCCTTGGCCATCCTTCCAAGGAACAGCTCACAAAGTAGCTGGCTTGGGGGCCTACATGTATCTGCAACTGCAGGACGTTCCCAACAACTCAGGTCTGCAAAGGCCCAAGGTCGGCTCGAGGCGCCCAACGTGGCCTTCTTCTTCCCCACCCTCCAATCTGGCCAGTAGGCCCAGGCTCTTCCGCAGTTACACGCGGTTGGTGCCAAGCCGCGGCGTGTGCGTTCGGGGCTCGCAGGGTAATGGAGTGAGGGTCGGCCTCACAGCTCACCCAGACAACGCAAGGCCGAGCTCTCCACTCACCTAGCAGCACGGCTTGCCGGAAAACAACGAGGGCCGTGGAGGTCAGGAAATTCGCCAGTTTGGATCTTTATCCTCTTCCACGCTTTTCCCCCCATTAAATCCAGACTCCGTCACATGATAAATTAAGAAAAAAGACTCAGTTCCGCCTCCTCAACCAGCAACAGTAGCGGTCCTCTCAGTTCTAGCTCTGGGCCGCGCCCACATCCGGGGCTGGTTCCCACCGCTCCTAGGCCTATTCTAATTGGCAGCTTGAACGCCAGTCTGGGTTCAGAGGCCCTCCTTGAACGCGGTCATTGGACTATTTAGCTGCTAGTGTAAACTAACCGACCTTTCCTGACTTAGGAGTTGGACAAAAAAGCGGCATGGGAAGAGCAACAGTGGACCCGCCTCTTATTCCTACGGGTTAGAAGAAAAGTCAATCGTAGCGTAGCCTGGAGTTTCTGTAGTCCCATTGGACGCACAAGTGCCAATCAGATCATTCAGCGCTAGGCTCCGCCTCCACGGGAGGCCCGGCTCCTCCTCGGGCCCGCCCCGCCTACAGACTCCAGTGCAAAATCCTGCGGAGAGGGGGCGGGGCGACGCTGTGGGGCCGCGCGACGTTCGGAGCCGCGCGCCCGCCCGCCCGCCTGCCCGCCTGCCCGCCGGCATCCTAGCTGTGAGCTCTGAGGCTGCGGCCGTGGCTAGGCTCTCGCCTCGCTGTCTCCCGCGCGCTATCCAAGCCGCCTCCTAGCGGCGCGGCGCCCGCTCCAACGGTAAGCGCCGCCGGGTCTCCACGCTTGGGCGGGCTGTGTGGCGGTCCTCAGCGTCTGACAGAGTCCGGAGGATGGATCTGGTCTGGGGGCGCCCGGGCCAGCGCGTCGCCCTCCGGCGCGGGGGGCTTCCCCGGCTGCCCTCGGCACCTGCGGGCCCGGGCTCACCTGCGGCCCCCATCCATCCTGTGGTTTCGGGGGGATGGTGGGGGGGGCCGGGAGCGAGGTTCGGCTTCGCCGCGGAGCCCGCGCGGTCCTCCGGGCGGGACGTGACGAGCCGAAGCCCCACGCCGCCGCCGCCCGCACGGTGCCTCGCGCCCGCCCCTCGGCTCCCTCTCCAGTTCCACCCCCGCCCTCCGCGTCCTCCCCGCGGTGCGAGGCCGGCGCTGGGGGTCGGCTGTCCCGGGAGGGCGTGCTGGGGGCAGAGGGCGGGGGAGGTCCGCTCGGGGGCGGGGTCGGCGGGCGCGGGGCTGGGCGCTGCGGGCCGGAGCGTCGGGTCGGGTCGGGTCGGGTCGGGGCTCTCCCCTCCCTCCGCCGCTGAGCCCAGCCGGGCAGCGGACGATCCCCTTCGCCCAGGCCGCCGGCACGCCGCGGAGGTGTGGGTGCCGGGATTCTGTGCGTCGGCCTGCACAGCTTTGCCTTTTTCTTTTTACGTCTGGAAACAATACCGGCGCGCTTCACCTTCGCTGATTTTGACTGCCGTGTGTTGACAGCCGGCGTCCCGGCATTGTTCCTCCGAGTCGCGGCTCTCCAACTCCGCACCTCCCGGTAGAACTTCAGCGAAACCGTGCTGCTCGTACCCGTTTTATTTTTAGCTTGGCAAGAACCAGGCGACGGCTCTATGTGAACCTGTGCTACCCGGGGAGGTGGGAGGTGGGACGGCCGGGCTCGTCTCAGTGTGCACGTCGCATGCCAGCTGATCCTGAAGTGCTTGGGAAAGTGTGTTAGGGGTGTCATTTTCGTGGTTAAGGTTGCTTAGTTCGAGGTTATTTTTATGATTTCTGCAGGTTTTGTTTAAATAGTTTCTTTGACCACATATTCCTGAGCGTTTCTTTCCCTCTCTCCCTCCTCCTCCTTGTGAGCCTACTTTGAGTATTTGATCTTGTTAAGTATTTTTGTAAAATCTGTGTCTTTTGTTGTTTAAGAAATGGCACCTTTTAAACAACCTTTGTAATATTGGAACGGGAATCTTAAGAATGGGGACTATGCACTTTTAGCCTAAAGAGCCTTAAAATAGCATAACTTGCCTTGGATTTGGAGTAAAGGCTGCGAAGAACAAGGGAATGGGTATGCCTTGTCACTTGTAGTGGCTCCAGCCTCCAGATTCCAGAGGAAAGGAATCTGAAGGTCAGGGAAGAATGAGCTATCTGGGACCAGAAGCAAGGTGGTTCCAGGACCCCCTCCCCCCTCTGGAACTAGCCTACCTCCCACACAGGGTTAGTTGTCTGCATGCATCAGATAATATTAATTTAGGTATTAAGTGGGGAGTGGATGGTTTCTAATTTTCACTACTTTCTGGCTGAGCATGAAAAAGTGCCAAGCAAATCAAAGTGTAGTAGACATTGGGGGTACTCTTGCATAGTCAAGAGCCTCCCAAAGCAAACTTTTTTTTTGGGGGGGGGTGTTGGTCTTGAGACTTGAACTCAGGTCCTGAGCGCTATCCCTGAGTTTCTTTTGCTCATTGCTAGCCCTCTTACCACTTCGAGCCATTTCCGGTATTCTGTTGGTTAATTGGAGATAAGAGCCTCATGGCCAGGCTGGCTTTGAACTGTAATCTTCAGATCTCAGCCTCCTTAGTAGCGAGGATTTCCGGTGTGAGCCACCCCACAGGTGCCTGGCCCAAAGCAGACTTTTTAAAATCCAAACTGGCACTGGCTAGTTGGTCTTAATAAATAGTTTTTAAATCATAAAACATTTTAGCTAGTCCATTTAATGCACAATTTGAAGGAGTTTGTACAGCTTTATTTGATTCAAAGAGTTTATGGTGGTGTGTTGAAAAATGACAATGAAAAATTAGTTGGACTATTATTTAATTGTTATAATCCTATGAAGTGAGTATAGTAGTTACTTCCATATTTTCTAGGTTACTTTGTCAATGTATACTTAACTCATTGGTCAAGATTCACTTCTAAATGTCATCCAAAGACTTCATTTAAAATCCTTATTTTACCACTATTGTATAATTGGTTTCTAAGAGACTTGGTAAAAGAAAACTTAATCAGTAGGAAACTATGTAGAAATAACCAGTAGAAAATTCTGATTCTCAACTTAGTAACACTTTGAGATGTTGAACATTACCGACAGCTATCTTCCCACCCTGAGGTACGTCCATTTGGTGGGAGAGATCGATATTTAACAAATGTTGATAATATAGTTAGTGGGTAGTGGCAGAGAGCAGGGAAACAGGAATGGCATGAGAAGCACCATGGCAAAACTGCACACTTCTGACACACAGACACAGGTGAATGGGTTAAGACCCTTTACATTTCCATATGGGGCAAATGAAGATTTCAACAATGTGTAAGGAATCATATGAACAAAGCTATCTTCCAGGTACCAGCAATGTGGAAAGTATTTGAGCAAGTTTAAGAGGGAGTGGTTTGGAGGTCCGGGGAGGAGCTGTCATTATGGAGGCTTAAAGACAGTTTTCAGGGCTGGGAAGCTGGCTCAGTGGTAGAGTGCTTGCCTTGCATGCATGAGGCCCTGGGTTCGATTCCTCAGCACCACATAAGCAGAAAAGGCCGGAAATGATTCTGTGGCTCAAGTGGTAGGGGTACAGCGCCCAGGCCCAGAGTTCAACCCCATGACCAACCAAAAAAAAAAAGTTTTCATAACTAGAGGACAAAGATATTCCCACACAGAATAGGAGAAAGAAGGCAGTTTTAGAAAGAACATAAATTATTTAAAGATTGGGAACTAATTGTAGCTTTATGTATGTCAAAAGCATTTGTGAAGATCAAGTTGAATGATTTATAATTGTAGCAGGGCAAAATAAGTTCTAACCAGTTTTGATGGTTGGAAATTACATAATTAAATACTAAACTTACAGAAACAGTTTGCCCGTTGTTGTAGTATTTACCTTTTAATCCTTATTTTTTCCAAGTGCCAATGTAGTCTCTTTCTGAATATATCTAGATAAGCAGCTGTTTCATTATTTCATTTATATGTTCCGTTTAGGGTATAAAAATAATAACTAGCTACAACTACAGACATTTGCACTTTAATTTGTCGATCGTATTTTGAGATTGTTCATAAAAGAATCTCAAAGTGACTGTTGCCATCCCTTAACCTGTTTACCTGTTAGTACCCACATAAAAGTCAGTATTGCAAAATCTGACATTATGTTAACAACAAAAAATATACTGGTACTGCTGGGTTTTGAACTCAGGAAAGCAGGTACTTTGCCACTTAAGCCACATCTCTAGCTCTTTTTTCCTTAGACACTTTTCAAATAGGTTTCATATTTATGCCCAGGCCAGACAGAACTGAGATCTTCCTATTTACATTTCCCATATACCTAAAATGACATGCCTGTGCCACTGCATTCACTTCTTGCTTGGTTAAGATGAGGCCACAGAAGCTTCTTCCCTGAGATAGCCTTAAACAATTTTCTGATCTCAAGCCTGGATTTGACTGTTTATTCTTACCCCAGACTGAGATATGATAGTAAAATAGAATGTTTTAAAATTGAGACTGTATTTAAAAATCTGAGAAAAAGTTCCATGTATCTATGTGTCCACCTATCAGGTTAGGGTAGAACCATATACATATTGGAGGTCAGGGAAGAATGAGCTATGTCTGGGGCTATCAGCAAGGTGAAGTGTGGACCATTTACTTGATGACCAGAATCACATGATGAAGTTAAAAATATTAAATGGCATTTTGGACAGCTACATTTTTAGTCCAGCTTTTTAGACTAATACAAATTGCTAACATGACACAAAATATAGAAGTGAATTTTCAGATGAACACTACTGAGTGCTTCCTATAATAGATAGTTTTTGAGCACCAAAAGAGAAAGAAAACATGCTAGACTTCATTCTGAGTAGTGAACAGGAACTTGGGCAGGAAATGACTATGGCTGAAGAACTACCCAGTGATAATCATAACATGATTAAATTTGACATTTAATGAGAGGAAGTAAAATGTGCAGAGTATATAGCTTTTCAGCTGTAGAAACAGTAGAAAAAAGGGGTTCTTAAGAGTTTATAGAAACTTTGAATATAGGTAGTGAGCATGATATTTTTTGCTTGAATACAATTTAAAATATTCAGTACAGGATCTATCACAGACAGCAAAAAAAAGTATGAAAGTTATATGGCACAGGATTCTATAGTAACCTATATAGCTTGGTAGTGATCTTTAGAGTGTAGGTTCACAAGTCATCTCTTTTTTTTTTGTTTTTTTGTTTTTTGCCGGTCATGGGGTCTGAACTCTGGGTCTGAGCACTGTCCCTCAGCTCTTCAGCTCAAGGCTAGTGCTCTACCACTGGAGCCACAGCGCCACTTCCGGCTTTTTCTATTTATGTGGTGCTGAGGAATCGAACCCAGGGCCTCATCCTTGCAAGGCAAGCACTCTACCGCTGAGCTACCTTCCCAGCCCCACAAGTCATCTCTTGAGCTAGGTTCAAGTCCCAGGTCTACCAATTAGGTAAAATTGGACTATTATTTTTTTCCCCCTGGTACTCTGGGCTTGAACTTGGCCTTGTACTTTAACTCAGCTTTTTCATCATGGCTAGTGCTCTACCACTTGTGCCAGGCCTCCAGTTCCTTATTGCATAATCTTTTTGAGGTTCAGTTTTGTTCATAAAATAATCTGCTTTGCTAAATTTTAAGAATGAAATGAGACAATATGATGTTAAACCCTTGACACAGTGCTTGACTTGTAAGACTTCCTTAAAAAGTGATGCTTGTAAATATTTGATTATGTTAAACTATTTGTTTAAAACAGAATTCTAAAAGAGAAGTTAGGAAAACCAGAAAATGGCAAACAAGCAATAAAAC